GCACGTAAAAGCCACCAAGGGGAGAATCCGGCAGAGGGGGGGCCGGGGATGTGTCGTAGTCGTAGATACTGGTGAAGGATGAGCGTGGCAGCGTACAGGAACGGCCCCCACATAAAGATGGTCGTGAAGGCGGCAACACCCATGGCGGAGGCAAGCTGATTGCGCTGGCTGCGTGAGCCCTTGGTGGGTAGCTTTGGCTGATGGATAACAAGAGCAAGGACGGTAGGTCAGTGGTTGTTACTCCGTCTCTGGTATATACTGGGAAGTCTACGGATAGGGTGGTCTGGGGAGGAGACCTTAAACGATTCTTGAAAAGGGCTGTACGCTGTACAGTATACATACTTCATGGAGCCCATGACATGTCTTGTGGAATAGACATAGGTCATGGTGTCGTGGCAGATGCGATCACGGGCAGTTCTGGGTGTCTTTGCCCAAATCGACCCCTCCATGATGCAGCTGGTGTGGGTTCAGCGAAGTGAGAAACACCACTGCAAAATGTGGCTCTGTGTGCCGCGGGGATGGTTTGGGTTCATTCGACCCTATGCACGGCGTGAACATCGAGCAGCAAAGTCAACGGCCTAAGAAGCTGAATTGGGCAGCTACGTACCGGGTTCATGTCACCGCTTCTGGATCTTGCGCAAAGCGGTACAAGTATGAAAAGGCAAAGCGGTACAAGTATGAAAAGACATCGCGTCAATACCTGTCTGCCATCAGACCGACGTACGAACTCTCGCATTCGTCTCGCCGTAACAATGGGCTGTAATCCATCGAGACCTCTCAATGGCTCACAAACAGACGTAGACCAGACCCTGTCCATGCACTTTCCGCTCACCGTAACTCGTCCGCCTCGATACTCATACAATGAGCACAACGAAGCGTGTCGCCTTCTACGGCCTTGGGCTGTGCGAGGCGCAAAGTCCCGCAGCTTCATGTTCGTTGTTCATGTCATCAACAATAGTTTGCTAGATAGGTCGCAAACACTTGCCCAGATCAGGCTGCTGAGCCACTTGCAACAGCTCGCATACATCCATAAGCTTCAGGTTTTGGTCAAGTGCCTGGATTACTTGTCTGATACC